CTATTATTATTATTAATTCGACGCCCAGGCCAAAAGAGGTGGTTCAGCCCCCCAGACCCAGATTAACCTCTGAAAACATCCCTGGATGGAGGTTTAGATCTGGTAGAACTAACATTACTCGACGCCTTGGTTTGGAAAAAGGTCAGAGCTTGTCGTACGTACGCTCCAGTCCTCCCCTGGCAGCAAATTCCCATTCCTCCTCCGCCGGGAGCCTCTTCCCTTTCCAGGCGCAGAACGCCTGCGCGTCGTTCCAGCTCACATGCAGCACCGGGTAATCCAGCCTGTCCTTTATGCTGGAGCCAGGACCTGAGGGCTAGGAAGAATTCCATCAAACAGATTTTAATTGATTTTATACACTTTTCAATTAAAAAGGGAATAAAGGACAGAACAGACCAAGGCAGGGAACATGCAGCAACCAGAGATGCTATTTTTTTCCCCATTGTCGGTTGATCAGGTTCAGCACACATTAACACGTGCATGCTCCCAGCATGGAGAGGACTCACCGCACCGGGTTTTTACTCACCTGTCGCCAAAAAGCCTTCTCGATGGGCAGCCACCAAGGGGCAGACTGGGAAAAGAAATGACACCAGATTAAAGCTGAACTGGCGGCACCCCCTCGACACCATCCTACAGCAGCATGTGTAAAGAAGAGCGCTTGTTAGTCTGGAAATGGTTAAATGCTGCGGTTGGAGCCGGGTTATCACAAGCATTTTGATAGTGCTTTCCAACAGAGTAGAGGCATCTGCTTTTAAAAGTGAAAACGGACCAAGAAACCCATGCTGTTTAGATTTTCTGTTTTAAGGTTTCTGAATAAAGTACTTTGAAACGCGCTTTGCTCTCTCCCAGCTCACTGGAGCATCTCATGAGTCCAATCTGACAGTGTTTGGAGAGGATGTAAACAGAGGAGCGCCATAATCAACCCAGGCTCAACCCTGCTGTTAGTTTCCAAAGCAAAACAACCCAAGGCTAAAGAAAAACCACTGAGAATGGCCAGACTTTGCACTGAGAGGCAGCTGCTACTCAGTGGAAAAGCAGTACCGGCAAGGGTCTCCCCTCCTGTTTTTTTTTCACTTAAAACAGAGAGGTCAAACAGGGATGTGACCAGAAATACCATCTCCATCATCATCACTGAAACTCATCCCCGTGGGATTTAGATTTACCTCCAGTTTTTGGGTGACTTTTTTTTTCAGCTCTTCGGATAAGAAATCCTCAAAGACAAAGCTCCAGCCAAATGCTTCTGCTTCTGTTTTGTATTTCTTTTCTCTAACAAACTCCCTGGCATAAATACAACACGCTCAGGCGTCTGGGTAAGAGTTCTTCAAGAGTCACACCACCAAATACAGCGATCTGCACATGCAACAAGTTCAGAGCAAGGCAAAA